GTGAATACTGCAGTCTTGGAGTCGGTGTAGTGTAACAGATTACACAGAAGTAAATTATACACATATGCTATAGATAACACTAAAAGATGTTTTGAACTTTGTGTGGAGAATGGAGATTAATTAGACTCATAACTGTTGACCTTAGAATTTACCTGCTGCAGTGTGAGAGTCTAAAGATAAGTCAGCAGTTAGGTAAGTTAAGTCAAACCAGTTCTCACAGAACCGTCTGTTTATGCTCTGTTTTGCTTGATTTCCTCAGTTGGCAACTCTTTTGAGCCCAGTGCCTTTGAATCCAGTAAATGTGCCAGCTGGACATCCTACATCATTAAGTGGACTGTCACCAGCAGGTAATAAATACTCTCCAGGCCACCTAACTTTCATGGAAATCTATTTTTCTTGTTAGGACTTAGAGGCTTTACATAATGGCTGTTAAAGACTAGGAGCAGCAACAAACGTTGACAAAATCTCATATTGCTTGTGGCTTGTCTTGGACATCTGTCCATTTTAGCATTTAAAGCAACTATAGATACATGGGAGATAATCTGCTACTTTTGGGAAGGTACAAAAAAGTAACATGCAGTAAGCATGCTTTTCGATTACGTTCCAGTCTGGATTTATCTGCCTGTCTTTATTCTTCAGCTGCACCAAAGAACAAGTCCCAGTCATCTCATTACTACGAGATAATGGAATTTGATCCGTTGGCTCCCACTGAGTAAGTAACTTTTAAAATAGTTAATAAACTGTTTTCTTAAGTATGAAAGGCAAGAAAGCTTCTGAGACAGCATCTTCTGAGTGAGAAAACAGACCACACTATTTAGACCGTTAGCTGACCAGCTGGATCGCTAATATAAATGAGTGGCTGTGTTTTGGACACGTTCTTCCAATATTTCTGGCATAACCAATTAATTAAGGACTAAACTCCTATAGTGTAGGCATGTGTAAAGACGGTGGAGTAATACTGTGTCAAAAACAATTACTGAAATCCTTTTCAGTGATATGAAAAGGTGAATAAAACATGTTAAGGGTGGAGGAAGCTGATTGACACTTCAACACAGGTAGTTCTGGAGCAAGATAACCAAAGTAATTCCTGTTCACAGTAATGGTGATTTGTAAGAATGTTGTTCTACTGCGTATTAAGAAAATCCTCAATTTAAGCACAGGCTACAAAAGGGAATTGATGCTGGGACTCTCCAGAGGACCAAGCAGGCAAACAGAAAACTAATACAAAACTAAACAGATGGCAGAACTCTGCTTTCTACCAGGGAATTGCGAAAAAATTGAACCACCTACACAAAACTTATTTCCAAGGAACCATCATGTTTTGAGGAGGAAAAATATCAAGAGAGCTTTATTTATTTTTTTTAACTAGTGCAGTAGTTGCGTGCCACGTGGTATGCTGGCCAATTGCATTTTGCAGACCTGTTTCCCAACCTTATTTCATCGAAAGTGCCCATGTCCAGAGGTATGTTGTTAACTGTGCAATCACAGCCACACCACAGGATGGCCTCTCTGTTTCCATGGAAACCTGGGCATCCTGCACCTGATGCTGCTCCGTTAGGCAAACAGTATAAACTCGGGCAGTTGGTGCTTGGGCAGGATTTCATTGGTGCATTTTGTCCAAATGAAACAACTGTGATGCAGGAGTCGCCCTGTTCCTCTTTTTCCAGAGCTATTTATGAAGATATTGATGATGTGCTGAAGACAGAAGTTAAAAAGGATGCAGAATGCTGAAGGTGGAGGTGAAGTCTTTTACCGAACTGACGCTGGTGCTGTGCTTCCTGTAACACCCAAGTGAATAACAGAACGGGTTTTGTATTTTGACACAACAAACAATAAGTATTGGAATACTGCATTGGGTGGAAGTTGAAGAGTTAATTGGATCTACACCTTGATAATTTGTCCTGAATGTTCAACTGTGTATTCTTTGAGGTGCCTTGCAGAATTATTTTTTTAAGTATTTTTGGGGCCTTTAATATGTTTTCCAGATTCACCTGTGTGTGAGGTAACACTTCACACCTGACACAAGTAACAAAAAGGATTCTTGCCACTATAGAAGAAAACTTTTCTTGCAAGTTCACTGTTCCTTTGTGTTGCTTTACCCCTTTATTCAGCAAACAGAACGTTACATTTACAGAAACTGCAGAATCTGGTTTCTGGTTTGGCCTTATTGCTGTCTCTGTTAATCTCTCTAGAAATTTATAAGGGGGTTTTGATATGTAGGACTTTTCTAGAATTGGTCCCCTTGATGGTTGTCTGAAGACATGCGGTGTTAACTTTCCTACACTCATATTCCTAATACAGACTTCTCTTCCTAAAAGCCTGCAATGTAGTTGGATTTTTGTCTTGGTAAGAACCTGAGCTGGGACATGAGGTGCTGCCATCCCTGATGAACAGAACAGGAAAGCCCCGCTTGTTCGTATGTTGTTGCTGTTATTTACTCAGTAAATATTGGAGGGGGATCAATTATTTCTTTCCATGTTCCTGCCCTGCAGAGATTGCTGTTCTGGTGAAGGAAAAAATAATCATCTACAATGCAGATGAGCAATAGTTATCCATTTATTTTATTCAAGTTGTTTAACCCTGTTAATAACAGTTTTATCTTTTAATAATTAAAGTGCCTTATCTATTTTAATGCTGAATGTAAAATGTGCACTTTAACAGGTCTGGTTCTCTGGATTTATAATTGATATAAAATTTGAGAACTTAGTTCATGTTCAGAGCTGATAAGCTAATTTTTCTGTGAAATACTACATTTAAAATGTGCGTTATGTTAACTGTTTAACTGATAAAAGTTCTCAGTTGGTTTTGCAATTTTTGTACCATAAAATTCCAAATAAAAGCAAATGCTTACTGAGAAGCCAGCTCCTCTCACTTCTGAGTTTTTACCAGATGACACGCGTATTCCATAGAACACCCACTGCAGATAGCATGGGAAGTATCTTAGCGTGAACCCAGGGTGTGCCATTGCAGGGTTAGAAATTTTGCAGCTTGCTGTAGGGCTACATTAGTTCTGTCAAAAAGACAAACTTGAAGTTTGGGGTTTTTTGGAAGCAGAGGTGAAAAGGTAAGCTGCTTTGTCATTTTTCTTGTGTTACATGCAGTGGTCTGGACAGCAGCCTGAGAAGACTGCTAACAACAGTATGTGAGGGGGATTGATTTCTCCCTACAGCTTAGTGTGCTGGGTTTTTAACAATACAACTGAAGTGTAACAAATGACAATAGGCTGTTTCAACACGGTAATCCATAATGGATGATTGCTAACTGAACTTTTCCATATTTAAAGCACCAAAATTGTCACAAATAGATGAAAGCGCTGAAGCGAACTGGCTAATTACTGAGATGGGAGAGCTTGTTTTATAGCTGGAATGTGCTCAAACTCACGGGAAAACCCCCACATTTATGAAACTGGCACTTGCCAGGAGATACTAATTTCTTTCTAAAGCACAGGGCCAGAATAAAGCCATGTGTGGAAAACTCCCATGATCAGTTCAACTTTCAAAAAGACAACGGACTAAAGACAACCCAGGTAAGAATTTTTTTTTTCTAGCCTGAATTCAAAGGTTTGTCATGATATTTTTTTTTTTTTTCTGAAGCATAACTGGAATTAGAGATGATAAAGCTTGCTGCTATCTTTATACAGATATATCTTGTGTGGGCTTCACATCTTCTGCTGGACAAAATGCAATAGAGAGATCAAAGAATGAAAAGGTTTTTTAAACTTTAATAAATACACAGTGCAGACCTGACATGAATGTCATGCAGAATCTATTTAAACACCACATACAATTGGTAAAATAAAGCATTTTAAAGGTAGCATCCATTTATTTTCAAAAAAGCACTTTTAAAATTATTGTATGCAAACATAATTGAGCCTAAAGTAACTGCAGTTATTTCTGATATACCCCTTACCTTGTTAGGAGTCCAAACAAATCAACATTAATCTTACTTCGTTAGATCTCATCTGCTGAAAGGGTAGAAAGAACTGGCCTAGCAGATGAGATACTGGACTGAGATTATGTCCTGTCTGAAAATGAGTAGGTTGCTTAAAGTTGCTCTGTAACTCACTCCTCACTTGCAAAGCTGTGATAAAGTGTTATTATCCCTACCCAACAGGTAATGATGAAAAATTACATAAATACAGGCTTACTTGTTCCAGTGATAAACAGAGTACCTAGGAGTACCTCTGAACAACTGCTGAGCAGACTTTGTTGGATTTAACTTTCAAATGGGGTTGATTCCTTGTGGATCTGAGCTCAGAGACTCCTACGCTATCAATTTAGCCTTCAGTTTAGAGCAGTTGTTTGTATACTGCCTTTCCCTTCAAAGCATTTCATACATAAGCTGAGCTTGTCTGTGTACTGCCCTCTGCAGTACACAGAACAGTAGGCATAAGCAGTACAGATATTCTAAACGAGTTGAACATAACGTCAAAATTTGAAGATGGTATTTCTAAAGGGAAGCTATACCACAGATTTGATATTCTTAATTTAAATTACTGTTCCTCATTCAAATGATAAGTTTGAGAGCAGTCTGCTCTTACCAAATGAGCTACTGATTCAGTAGTAATTTGAGAGGGTGCATCATCTTCTGAATTGTCATATCCTCCTGTGCCATGGGAAAGTTACACAGCAATACCGTCTAACTTTGTTTAGTTTTGAGATTTCATGAACTGATTACCTGTTTTTACTTCTTTAAAAAGTAACTTACACGGAAGTTATTCTTCAGAGCCAGCAGTGCAATTTTAGATGCTTAATAAACTGATTTGTTCCTCTGTATTTAAAAGAGGATCTCAATTTACACTTGGGTTTAAAAATTTGCCTCACAATATTCAGATAATATGTCTTATAAAAAGATGCCTTGATAAAACCCTCTCTCTTCCAGGAACAGTCTGTTCCCTTTTATTGTCTGATGAAAAAATACTATCCCTAAGAAATAATATTCCAACTACATTAAGTTCTTTTAAAAAAAATAGAAATACATCCTTTCATAACAGCAGCATATGCCTATGGTGGTTTAATAATATAATTTCATATTGCAGAGTACTCCTACAGTTTTTTTTTTTCTGTCGAAAAATGGTTTCAAAACTGATAGTCAGGTAGCAGAGTCAAACTGTGCAGAGATTGGCCTTTACTGATATCCAGGAAGTGGTAGCGTCTGTCCTTCCTTTGCCTCAAAAAAGGTGTAAGAGAGGGTGATCAAATCAACTTTGGCCATTTTTGGGTCATCTACAAATTCTGGATCAATGTAGAAAAAGACAGGCATGTCCACTTCCTCTTGAGGATTCAGCCGCTGCTCTTCAAAACAAAAACACTGCATGGGGGAGGAAAAAGACACAAATAATTAGACAACAATAGCTACGGTAAATTTCATCCCTGCCAACAGGAGGGAAAGCTTCATCTTGTAAGATCAACTCTCCTTCCCTGTACATCTCTAAAATCCTGAGAAGGATCAACCAGATGAGCAAGAAGACAGCAATTCTGTTCCTCTTGTGTTACAGGGGGAAAAAAAAAAAAGCTTTTAATGAAGCATCCAAAGTGCAAATTGGCCAGGCTAGCATACATCACTGCCTTCTGTGCTCAATGTCAGTTGTGCCAAATACCATATATTTGGGAGACACTCTAACTGGACATGTATTGCAAATCATTATGAAGACAGTAAGGCTATAAGAATGAACTCACACGATGTCATTTGAAAAAATCAAGTTGGCATACAAAGAATGGTATCGAGGCTTAAAAATAGAAAAATTGTGGATAACTATTGTCATTCATGTAAATGAAAATGTAATATTTGTTTTGTGTGAACACTTACTTGTATTTTATTGAAATACTGTCCTGCTTCAAAGGGTATTACATTGTAGGTAGAGATTCCAATTATTGGTTTGTCAGTCGGATTTTTCGCTTTATAAAATGCCAGCGCAGTCTCTCCTGGTACCACCTGTATAAAGTAATTGCATGGTCATTTTTAACTCACTGCAGCCTTCCACTCAGAGTTCTATAGACTTTATCTCAAATTAGTTCATTTTCTCTTTTGGTGTTTCAAGCTGGTTACTTCACTGTTTAACAAATATTTTGCTTTTAGACAATTCACCTCTATTCAAAATTAAAAGCACTAATAATGTTATAGGTGTGCATTTTTAATCTTACCCACTTTGCCACTGAGACTTATATTATTCACAGCTGTTTAGCAGCACACAGAGCTTATTTAATATGCAAATTATATATTGTGTACATTTAATTAAGGTTATAATTCTTTCAGTACTGGACTTGGAAACCAATTAAGCAGCATGACTCCTCTTGAGAGTTTTTATTAAGAACTAAATTTAAACAGTGAAGTTAGATTGCAACGTTCACTGTTTAAAATACATCAACAGTCCTACCAGGATAGGGGTGAGGAAGCACCAGGGGCAAAGCCTGCCACAACCCCACAGGTTTAGATACCCTGCTCTACCAGGTATTATTTTTTCAGTCTGTACATGTACACCCACGCTTTATGGTGTGTCTATAAATATATGTTTGATAGCAATCATTTTTTTGGTAGCTTGATGGGATGGCAGGGGAGCAACTCCACTTTACTCCAGGAGGCAGTAAAAGTCCTGCCCTTTGGGTCAAAGGCACCATCAGCCCAGCCTTGCCCACCAGCTCCCCCAGGACAGTTCTGAGCTGGAGGGGGGCAGAGGCCGTGCCCCAGGTGCGCGTGTTTCCAGCCCAGGGCCCAGCCCTGCCACCAACGGCTCTGGCTCCCAGGTGGCCAAACCCCAGCCCACCCTGCCCCCTTGGTGTGAGGGGGTTTGTGGGGGGTGAAGCGAAGCCACTCACGTAGATCTCGCTCTGCTGGGGCCTGAAGTTCCACTGCAGGCTGGAGTGCACGTCCGCGTTGAACGTCACCCTGATCACCCGCTCCCGCACCGGCTCCATGCTGGCGATCTGCTCCGCGCTGTGCCCCGCGCTCGTCGTGCCGCCC